GAAATGCCCATCAATTAGGGAATGGCTGAACAAGTTGGAGCATAAGAATGTAATGGAATACTACTGTGCTATAAGAAATGATGAGCAAGCAGACTTCAGAAAAACCTGGAAAGACTTGTATGGACTGATGTTTGGTGTAGTGAGCAGAACCAGGAGAACGTTGTACACAGTAGCAACCACCTTGTGTGATGACTAACTTTGACAGACTTAGCTCTTCTCAGCAATGCAAGAATCTAAGACAATTCAAAAGACTCATGATGGAAAATGCTATCCACATTCAGAGAAAGAACTATGGAGTCAGAATACTGATCGAAGCATACTATTTGCTCTTTTTTTCCTTCTGGTTTTTTTTGTTTCTTCTTTCTTGTGCTTCATCCTATTGGTTCTAATTCTTCTTTAAAACATGACAAATGCAAAAATGTTTAATAGGAATGTATATTTAGAGCCTATATCAGATTGTAAGCTGTCTTGGGGAAGTAGGTGGAGACAGAAGGGGAGAAAACTTAAAACTCAAAAGCTTATGGAAGCGAATGGTGAAAACTAAAAATTATTTAATTAAAAACAAAGAAATGAGCAGAACCAAGAGAACATTGTACACAGTAAAAGCCACACTGTGCAATGACTGACTTTGATAGACTCAGTTCTTCTCAGCAATACAAGTACCTTAGACAACTCCAAAAGACTCAAGATGGAAAATGCTATCCACATCCAGAGAAAGAACTTTGGAGTCTGAATGCAGATGGAAGCATACTATTTGCTCTTCTTTTCTTCTGTTGTTTTGTTTTGTTTCTTCTTTCTCATGGTTCCTCAAATTAGTTGCAATTCTTCTTTAAATCATGATTAATGTGAAAATATGATTAATATGAATGTATAAGTAGAGTCTATACCAGATTGCACACCATCTTGGAAGGGGGCAAGAGAGGAAGGGGGAGAAAATTTAAAACTCAAAATCTTATGGAAGTGAATGCTGAAAACTAAGAATAAATTAATATTTTTTTTAAATTGCTAACTATTAACAACTACATGAAAGAATGCTCCAAGTAACATAAAATAAAACAACCCTGATGCTTCACCTCACACCCTACAAATTGACAAAGATGAAGAAAGAGAGGAATAGTTAATGTTGAAGTAGTTGTGGAAAGATAAACATACTACTACATTGTTGATCAAACTGTGAATTAGTATAAACATTCTGTAAAGCCCTTTGGAATTATGAAAATGTAAGGAGTAAAATGTCTTAGCCCAAAGATTCCACTGCCAGAACCTAATGAGACCATTGATTAAAAAAAAAGGCATCATACAGAGAAAAATATTTAAAGCAGCACTTATTGTGGAAGGAAAGAACTAGAAATATATGCTCAATCAATTGGGAAATGGTTACATAAATTGTGGTATGTGAATGTAATGGAATATTAATTACTGTGTTATAAGCAAATGAATATTCTTAATATGAGAGGTTTGGAAAAACTTAAATAAACCGATATTAGCAAAGCCAGCAGAGTTTTAAAAACAATAATATGACTACAACAACATAAATGGAGGTAACAATAACCATAAGCAAAATTATAAGGCATACCATTGGCCCCACAAAAGAGAGATGAGAAAATACCTCCCTCCCATTTGTTTGCAGAAGTTGAGAGTCCACAGGTATGGAATGTAACTGTCAGATTTATTTTCCAAGTATTGATTGGTTTTTCCCAATTTATTTCTCTTCATGTTCTTTTTTCTTTAAATTTTTTTTTATTCTCTAGGAAGGGGAAAAAGGTTTGGAAGAATGAAAGATATAGGGGAAATTTAGGCAACATAAAAACAAAAGATATCAATAAAAATGTATTTTAAAAAATAAGACAGTAGTGAAATGCCCACTAAGTCTGACAGAATTTGTCTCTTCCATGTCTAATTGCTTTTTGACACTAAAACTTCCCTTTAATATTAAAAAGTAACACTGGGCTCATAACACATGTAAAGGTTAGTATAATGTAAAAAAATAGTAACAAATATTCAGTGAAACAGAGGACTTTCAAGCATTCTTGATGAAAAGACCAGAGTTGAATAGAAAATTTGATTTTCAAATACAAGACTTGAGTGGAACATGAAGAGGTAAACAGGAAAGAGAAAATCATAAAAGACTTATTAAGGTTGAACTATTTACATTCCTGCATGGAAAGATGATATTTGTAACTCATGAGACCTCTGTCAGTATTAGGGTAGTTGGAGGAGAAAAAATTATATGTATGTATATATAGATATAGATAGATAGAGGGCACAGGGTGAGTTGTAAATGAAGGGGTCATATCTGGAGAATACAATTAAGGGGTGAGACTCTTTGAAAAAAACTGCTGGGAAAACTGGAAAAGAGTATGGCAGAAACTAGGCATAGACCAAAATCTCACACCATATACCAAAATAAAGTCAAAATGGGGACATGATTTAGATATAAAGGCTGATACTATAAGCAAACTGAGAGAGCAAGGAATAGTTTATCTGTCAGATCTATGGAGAACAGAAGAATTCATGACCAAACAGGAGACAGAGAACATTACGAAAAGCAAAATAGATAATTTTGATTACATTAAATTGAAATTTTTTTGCACAAAGTCAATGCAACTAAGATTAGAAGGAAAGTAGAAAACTAGGAAAGAATTTTTACAACCAGTCTCTCTGATAAGGGCCTCATTTCTAAAATATATAGAGAATTGAGTCAAATTTATAAGAATACAAGTCATTCCCCAACTGATAAGTGGTCAAAGGATATGAACAGACAGTTCTCAGATGAAGAAATTAAAGCCATCTATAGTCATATGAAAAAATGCTCTAAATCACTATTGATTAGAGAAATGCAAATCAAAACAACTCTGAGGTACCACATCACACCTTTCAGAATGGCCAACATGACAAAACAGGAAAATGATAAATGTTGGAGAGGATGTGGTAAAACTGGAACACTAATGCATTGCTGGTGGAGTTGTGAAATGATCCAACCATTTTGGAGAGCAATTTGGAACTATGCCCAAAGGGCTATAAAAATGTGCATACCCTTTGACCCAGCAATAGCACTTCTAGGGCTATATTCCAAAGAGATCACACAAATGGGAAAAGGACCTACACATACAAAATTATTCATAGCAGCTCTTTCTGTGGTGGCAAAGAATTGGAAATTGAGAGGATGCCCATCAACTGGGGAATGGCTGAGCAAGTTGTCGTATATGAATGTGATGGAATACTATTGTGCTACAAGAAATGATGAACAGGCTGACTTCAGAAAAACCTGGAAAGACTTGTATGATCTGATGCTGAGTTAAATGAGTAGAACCAAGAGAACATTGTACACAATAACAGCCACGTTGTGTGATGGCTAATATTGATAAACTTAACCCTCCCTGGCAATACAAGGATCTAACACATCTAAAGAGGCCTTGTGATGGAAAATGCTATCCACACCCAAAGAAAGAACTATGGAAGCCGAATTGTTGTTTTTTTTCTCTTCTGTTGAGTTTTGTTTCCTCTTTCTGATGGTTCCTCCTATTGGTTTTAATTTCTACTTACAACATCACTAATGTAAAAATATGTTTAATATGAATGTAAATGTATAGCCTATATCAGATTGTGCACCGTCTTGGGGAGGATGGTGGGGAGGAAGGGGGAGAAAAATTTTAAACTCAAAAGCATATGGAAATGATTATTGATAAATCAAAATAAATTAATAAAAAAAATTTTTTTAAAATTAAGGGGTGAGAGAGGAATATACTAGGAGAAGGAGAAAGGGAGAGGTAAAACAGGGTAAATTATCCCACAAAAAAAAACATAAAAGAAAAGACTCTTACAGTGGAGGGGAAACGGGGGAAGGTGAGAGGGAATGAGTGAATCTTATTCTCATAGGATTTGACTTTAGGAGGGAATAACATACACACTCAATTGGGTGTGGAAATCTGTCTTACCTTACAGGAAAATAGGGGGGGGAAGGGGACAAGAGAGTAGGGGAATGCTAGAGAGGAGGACAGATTGGGAAAGAAAGTAATCAGAAGCAAATACTTCTGAGGAGGGTCAGGGTCAAAAGAAAGAATAGAATAAATGGGTGGGCAGGATAGGATTAAGGGAAATAGAATTAGTTTTTCACAGCATGTCTACTATGGAAGTGTTTTGCATAACTGCACATATATAACCTATATTTAGTTGTGTGCCTTATCAATAAGGGTGGGTGGGGAGGGAGGAAGGGAGAAAATTTGGAACCCAAAGTTTTAAAAACACGTTTAAAAAAAATGTTTTCACATGCAACTTGGAAATAAGAAATACAGGAAATGGGGTACAGAAATCCATCCTGCCCTACAGGAAAATTGAAGGGGAAGGGGATAAAAGAAGGGGGGGGAGAGATAGAAGGGAAGGCAGACTAGGGGAAGGGGTATTTAGAGTGCATGCCATCTTGGGGTGGGGGGAGGGGCAAGATGGGGTGAAAATTTGGAACTCAAAATCTTGTGGAAGTAAATGTTGAAAACAGAAAAATAAATAAAAATTACCATAAAAAAAGTAACAAATACAGAAGTGAATCAAAGAAATACCTTTTATAAAGTACTATTACTTCATCTCCAGCTATGCTTGTCATACAAATGTCTACTTTTCATATATGTCATTTCCCTCATAGTAGAGAAAGCCAACAATACTAAGGTTTTTATCAGAGACTACTGTACGTTTTTTTAAATAAAAAAATTCTAAAATTCAGTTAACTATCATTTGCACCAACATTTTAAGATATGCAAATTATTTGTGTATATTATACACAAATACATACCCGCCTTTCTGTTTTTGGTTTTCATATATGTAAAAAACAAGGGATTCACCTTCTCCTTGGTTGAACGATTTCAATTCACTCTGTTACATAGTTCACTAGGCTTTTCACAATTCAAATCTAATCTCATATTTCTACTTAATCTATCTTTAAGGCACTGAGTATCCTTTATATATGGCATACTAACTTAATACATACTAAAAAGAAAACAATTTACCCGGATAGGCACACTGTAGAAGAGCTATTGATTTACCCCCAGGAGCAGCACACATATCCAAAATTCTTTCCCCATTCTGTAATTCCAGAGCCAACACCGGGAGAAGGGAGGCAGCATTTAGAAGATAATATCCTTTAAGTTTACCAAATTGATGTCTCTCTGAAGGTATTCGTCCAGGAATTCTATTAACGTAGCATATGAGTGATTTAGGACAGTTGGGAAAATATCCTTGAAGAAGGGGGTGATATCTCTTCAGTTGTAAATCCTTCTCCAGTTCAAAAGGATAGTTGAATCTATTAAAAAGGACAGCATGTTGCCAGCATGCTGGAGATGTTAAGATATCCCTAGAAATAGAAAAAATTAGGAAAAAGATTAACATTAGAGACACTGATTTTTAAAATAATTATTAATTATAAAGTATAGTATAGAGTATAGAATAACAATTAAAACCCCCCTATTCAATTAATTCCAACGTCTGCCTAACACCTTGATGCTAAAACATAAAATTTCTTTGCCATTTAAAGCTCCTTACAATCTGGCCCCTTCCTCGCTTTCCAATCTTTTTATATTCCATTGCCTTCTACTATCAATCCATATTGATCTACTTGCTGTCCTTCATATATGACACTATTTCTTATCTCTAGGCTTTTTACACTGACTGTTCCCTATACCTATAATGTTCTCTTTGCCAATCTCAGATTCTTAGGATCCTTGGTTTCCTTTAAGACTCAGTTCAATACCACCTCCTCTAGGATACTACCAACCAGGAATGCTATTCCACATAAAGTTAACTTCTATCTACTCTGCATGTGACTCCTTAGTTCTGATTTATAACCATTGTGTAACTCTATCTAAATGTAAGCTCCTTGAGGGCAGGTGCTGTTTTTGCTTTTTATTTATCTACTCTGTTAAGCCTCTAAGTAAACACTTAGTAAATTGATGATTCTGGACATATCTGCTTCAGTTTTTGCTTTTTTCTTAGACCTGTGATTTAATTTTTACAGGGAACTCCTCATGAGAAAACTCATATCAATGTAGATTAGTAACTGTTCTATAACTTACAATTTTTGACAACTGTCTGGAAATTTAAGGTTTAAGTGCCTTGCACACAATCACACAGCCAATATGCATCAGGTACTGAACTTGAAATCAGGTCTTCCTAATATGGAGGTTAGTTCTTTATCCACTACATCATACTGCTTCTCCATGCATGAATTATCTCCATTAATGAATCTCCATTATCTCCATTAATGAATCCTAAACTTTTATTAGTTTTTTTTTTGTTATCATGTCACATTGTTCATTTGTGTTGAGCTTGTAGTTCACTCAAAACCCCAGGACACTGACTACTACAAGCTACCTCTTCCTTATCTTGTACTTGTATAGATGATTAAAAAAAAAAAATCAAGTATAGTACTTCAAACTTATCCTTATTAAGTGCTCCCTCACCAGCTTTATCCTTTTGGTCTAGTCCAAAGATTTCAAACACTCAGCCCTCCCTGAAGTGTGCTGAACCAGACTGTAATGTAATTGTAATATTTAACAAAATGCATTTTAAAAAATAGAACATAGATAATGTTAATGTGTAGTTTTCTAAGTCAATATGTGGTACACAATGATCCTTACATAAGATTTAGTGGCCCCCATTTCTATTTGGGTTTGATATCACTAGTGTAGTCTGCCAGAATCTTTTGGACATAAAGGTCTATCAATCACCACAGTAACTATTGCTCCTAATATCCTGTCATCCATAAAATAAGATCACGTATAGAGCCCTAGACCACTCTACTATAAACAACCTTTCACATTAACATTAATCCATTCGTCATTACTCTTTGGGTCTAGGCATGTCAATCAGTATCAGATTTTATTTAGGGTAGTAGACGTAGCTTGACATCTCCACTTATGTTCGGTTTTGTTTCCCTGTTATCTTTCTTCTTTTTCCTAATCTAAAGTTCATTCCTCTGGGTTGAGACAACAGAAACAAAACAGGATCTGCACAGTCCTATCTCCTTTCCTTTCTAAGATATCATTGACCAATCTTTCCCTTCTTTGGATATTTCTCTTGCCACAACCATTAAAAAAGCCTCTTCTGTCATCTTTAATACTCATTGCAAGCTTTGTTTGTTCGCTATTTCAATGTTCCTAACACTTTATAGGAACATGTCACACTTTTTATATTCATCCTCAATCACATATCCTTACTTCTCCCTTCTGATTATTTTCTTTAAAATTTGAGTCAGTTACTTCCCTATATCTCAAAATGGATTTACCTAACCAATTCTCCCTTATCTTCCTCATCATTTACGCAGTAAAAAATTCTTTCTTGAGATTATTTTATCCATCAAGCTGGATTCCCCTATAGAATTTTAGGCTATAAGACCCTACTCATCCTCATTCTGAAATCATTGAAAATCTGCTCTCTCAAATATTTTCTTGGCCTCATCAGCAGCAATTAGGCTAATCTATTCAGACATGAACTTTCTAACCAGCATAAAAGTGAGTCATCATGAAACTCACAAATGACAAAATTTCTTTTAGCTACCTGTATAAGTTAAATATTCATCTTCATTCTCTTCTGTCTTTTTAAAATGTTTCGGGGTTATTTTTTCCTAGATAAAATGAAGTTCAAAATAAAGGCAGTGATAAAGGAGGAAATAAAGAGAAAAAAGGATGATGCCCTTTGAAGGGAAACTTAAAAAAGGAAAACCCACAAGGCAGTATAGTCTTTAAAATAGTATTTTATAATCTCAGAAATTAAATGTTATGCACTTAGTTTGTCACTTGAAAAAACCAGAAAATGTTTATTTATTAAGTTGTAGTTAATTCTGTCAACCACAGAAATCTTACTGGTGTCAGTAGGAATTAAAGCAAGTAGCTAAATCCAGTTAGAAACATATGACTCAAAACTCACTTCAAAGTAGGGAATTCTCATTAGTCTGACTTAGTTCCTCCTTCCCACTCCCACTTAAGACAAAGTGGAATAGCTTAATTCCACTCCCCATAAAATCATATTAATACAATCTGCAAAGTACCTTCAATTCCAAATTATAATTCTCTGGCATTTCCTCCTGCAGAAATAAAACTTCATAGTATTAATAACATTTTTATACTAACCTTATTGTAATCCAAGAATCTCCAAGTTCTTTGACATACTGCTTCTCAAAATGATCCAACACAACTCTGCAAATCTGTTTTGTAAGCTTTCTTTCTGACTGTGGTTTCAACTATGACAGTGAAACAAGAAAAATATTACTGAGATATATTGGAGTTATTTCATATTTATTATGCCTAGACCACACAAAAAATTGTGGAATTTTTCCAACTATTAATAAAATATTTTCAATTGCTTGCTATTTTTTTTTTTTTTTGGTTTGCCAGGCAACCCCGGTTAAGTGACTTGCCCAGGGTCCACAGGTAGTGTCAAGTGTCTAAAGCCAAATCTGAACTCAGGTCTTCTTGATACAAGGTGCAACCTACCTGCCCCTTCTTGCTAGCAATTCTATAAAATATGGGTGCAACATTAAGCTTCAAAAGCATGGAATTAATGTTCTTTAGTACTAAGTGATTAACAAAATTGAAATAACCTTTTGGAGTGCACTGGATTTAGAATAAATTTGGGTTCCATTAATCGGTCTTTGACAGTGCTCTAAGAATGGGAACATTAAAATTTACGGCTAAAAAGGTCCTTAGAGAGCACTTGGTCAACCCTATGTCGTTTTTGTAGATGAAGAAACTGAAGCCTAGAAGTGACTCACCCAAGCTCACACAAGTTAATAGTAGTTGTGAGAGGCACTAATATTAACTGTGAATTTGTTTTATATTTCTCCCGTAATTCACTCAACGCTGAAATACGATCCTCCAGATAAGCTAATAGAGAACAAAGGAAAATTAAATACACTAAGGAAAACTCTCATTAAAGTTCCTCTAGAGACTCAGGTACAACCCTGTGGGAAGCTGATGTGATTGATGAGCTAATATCGTTACCTTTTAAAACACTATGTGTCGGCTATTATTACTATTTAATAATAAGCCAGCTTCGAAAGGATGCTGGGGGAAAAAAATAATCGATGCCGAGCATTAATACAGGGCATTATAGTTTACGAAACACTTTACATATACTGTCACTTGAACATCGCAACAAGCCCTCGAGAGAGATTATACTATTATTCCAATTTTTAAAATGGAAAAAAAACGGAGGCAATGAGAGGTTAATTGGTTGGCTCCTGGGGCTCTCCGACCCAAGCGAGCCAGCGGCTCCGAAGCCGGCCCCTGGTAAGCGAGTCCGGGCCGGCCGCAGGCACTGCGTCAGGGTCGAAAACTCAGACAGGGAAAAAACACTTTTCCTGTCGGACTCCAAAGCAGGCCCCGCGAAGCGGCCAGCCCTACAGCGTGAACGGAAGAGGTACGTGGTCCTCACCCGGCTCAGCACCATCGCGTCCAGAGGAGTCCCACCAGGCCGACTTGGCGGTGACAAGCAGCAAGGCTCCCAAGAGCCTCACTGAACATGCATGCGCATTCCAACGCTTAGGCCTAGAAACCCTACTGCGGGACACAATTTGGCAGGGCCAACCCCTTCCTCCCAGACCACGCCTCGCCTCTCCCCAACCCAACTCTCGCGCTTTTCGCCCATCCCGTTCCCATGGTCACCTCCAGTCCCGCGACAGTCTTAGACCCTCTAGAGAACGTGCGATTACGTCATCACCCAGCGCCACAGGTTGAGAAGTTTTTACAGCGTCTGGAAAAGTGGATGCCGGATTTCACACACGAAGTGTAGTGAGAAAGAGACAGAGAAAGGGAGAGAGACAGAGACAGAGAAAGGGGGAGAGAGAGAGACAGAGAGACAGAGAGAGACAGAAAGAAACAGAGACAGGAGGAGAGAGCCCTTCAGTACAGGTTTGGGATTAAATCTAGGGGTATTTGACGAAGGGTTTCTTTTTGTATTTTCCCATTGAGTGGTCCTTTCCTCGATAGTAAACCTTTAGGTAGAATTCAGTGCGCTCTTGGGTCTGGGTCAGGTGGAGCAGATCGCCTTGAGAGAAGACGCTGCTTCTAAGAAGCGAAGCCCTGTGCCTCCTTTACCTTCTGTCTAAATATTTCCCTCAGAAGGGCGAAATGGAGTAAAGTTCATTGCGCTGATTTATAACAAACGTTTATGAGCACTTGTGCTGGGGGTGACAGCTGTGGTATAGAGACAAGGCAGTCCCCGCCTTTAAGGAACCCGACACCTCCTGGACGTCAGCCCACTCGTGACGTGGGGAGGAGGGGAAGTATGAAATATAACTCAGCATGTCCAAAACACAACCCATTATCATTTCCCATCAGCAGCCTCATGCCCAATGGACTGTCACCAAACAGCAACTACATACCTAGGGGAATAAATCAAATCTCCACCACGAAACCAGCCCATAACATAGCCCATTAAAGGGTACATGTTTTCCCCAATTGATCAAAGGATATGAACGGGCAGTTTTCAGATGAAAAAATTAAAGCTATCAATAGTCAAATAAAAAAACGCTCTAAATCACTATTGATTAGAGAAATGCAAAGTAAAACAACTCTGAGGTACCACATCACACCTATCAGATTGGATAACATGACAAAACAGGAAAGTGATAAATGCTGGATTAGATGTGGGAAAATTGGAACTCTAATGCATTGTTGGTGGAGCTGTGAACTGATTCAACCATTTTGGAGAGCAATTTGGAACTATGCCCATTGTGCATAACCTTTGATCCAGCAATCCCACTACTAGGTCTGTATCCCAAAGAGAATATTAAAAAAGGGAAAAGGACCCACATGTACAAAAATATTTATAACAGCTCTTTTTGTGGTGGCCAAAAATTGGAAATTGAGGGGATGCTCATCAATTGGGAAATGGCTGAACAAATTATGGTATATTAATGTAATGGAATTCTATTGTTCCATAAGAAATGGTGAGCAGGCAGACTTCTTCAGAAAAACCTGGACTTACATGAACTGATGCTGAGCTAAGTGAGCAGAACCAGGAGAACATTGTACACAGTAACAGCAACATTGTGGATTGACGACTTTGTTAGACTTAACTTTTCTGAGCAGCGTAATGATCTAAGACAATTCCAAAAACACTCATGATGAAAAATGCTGTCCACATCCAGAGAAAGAACTATGGAGTCTGAATTCAAATGGAAGCATACTTTTTTTTGTTTTTGCTTTCTTATAGTTTTTCCCCTTTTGTTTTGATTCTTCTTTCACAACTTGACTAATGTGGCAAAATGTTTAATATGATTGTACATGTCTGGGGAGAAGGGAGCGAGGGGAAGGAGGGAAAATTTCAAACTCAAAATTTTATAAAAGTGATTGTTGAAAACTAAAAATAAATTTTTTAAAAAAGAAAAAGTCTAGGTGTTGAATGGACTAAGCAGACTGAGTAAATTAGTGAATAATCATTGATCAAATACTGTTTGCAAAAGCATTGTTAATGCTATGATTACAAAGAGGAGACAGCCCTTACTCTCAAGAAGCTCCTATCTTAATGGAGGAGACAACACATATAGGAAGGTTACAGGGCCGAGTGCTGTTTAGGATGTAGCATTAAGGCAGATGGTAATTTGGGCTCTTTTGTGTAGTTTCACTGAAAAAACCATATTCCTTTTTGATATTAAACATCTGAACGTTTTCTGTTTCTTCAGTAGCTGTGACTGCTAAAGAGATGTGGGATGTAGCACTTACAGAGGCTGTTAAGTTGCCCAGTCACATCTCCATAGGGTTTACTCCCTTATGTAATGGCTGGGGAGCCTAGGCTGGAAAACTGAAAAACAGCACTGAAATTTTAAGTTGCTGTTCCATGTATGTGCCCTGTCCACACAGACACCTTACACTGCCCTGTGCCCCTCCCAGCATATATCCTGGTTACAAAATGTTCCCTATGTATTCTCTCCAAACCAAAGACATGGTTGTGACCCACTCCAGTACATTCCCCAATTATGTCCAATCCTCATGTTATATATATTTACAGAAGACTATGTTTCAGGTTTATAGGGAAGAGAGAAAGGGAAGGAAGGAATATTCTATAGTTACTATATTTCACTAACTGCCTTTGCTTTGAACTGTTTCCTGTCTGAACAGTAAAAGTAAACACAGTGAGAGGTGGTGAGTTAGGCTTTTAGATAAAGAACCACTGGGTACCTAAAATTTTCAGTACTTTAAGGAAGAACAAGTAATAAAATAGAATGGAAGGAAGTACTCCAACTGATTGTCTTCTCTATAGTACTTTCTATAGTAGCTGTTACACATATTTTATCTCAAGCCCCAATGCCACTCTCTTCCCCTAAACAGGTGATACGTTCCTTATACGAACTGAGATAGGCCATCATAAGCATCATGATGAGTTCCTTCATAATACATCCTCCATACGCCAGAATTTCTTCATACCTTCATCATTCTTCAACTGCTGAGGGATCATCCATTTGGAGATATCCTGAAGCTCCCTAATCTCCCCTGAAAACCTTACTTATTTCATTGTAGTTTCAGAAAATAAAACGCCCCCTCCTTTGCCAAAGCTAACCCCTTCATTTATGCCTTTCTTCCCATTCCTCCTCTCTTTTTTAGGACCATGGCTCTATCACTTATTCCCTTTATCTTCAAATTCTTCTTATTGACTGAATGATGTAACGAAAATGTTTGTTTCCATAAAATTGAAACAACGGCTAGAAAAATAAGTAAAACAGGATAAAGCTGTTCTTGTTTTGCAATTGAGAGATATAATGAAAATGTGTGTATCCATAAATTTGGAGCAAACTAGAAAAGTAAAACAGGATACAGGTGATCTTATTTTACTGTTAGAAGTTAGCAAGTACGACAAAGGTTGATCTTTGCTTAGAGTGCACATGCTTAATAGGCTTATGAATATTAACTTCACTTCCAGGAGGTGCTAAGAAGCCATTTTCTGAACATAAGATGTATGAAGAAGGTAGGAGAATATATCAAGGGGTAGATGTATAATATGCATACTGGAAAGTTGCACACTTCGGAGTACTTAGCCAATAAGGAAACAGAGGAGGGACTTTGTGGCCTAGGATTAGAGATAATTTGCTACAATGTGTCCTAGTACATAGGACACCCGAGGTTGCAACTGCATAATAAACTGGGCTTTTAACTTTGTCAAATCCAATGGTCCCAACTTTATTAGTCTCCACCTTTGACCTTTATTCAACATTTGACATTAAAGAGTACCTTTCCTCCTTGTTACTATCTCCTTTCACTTGCATGAAATGTATCTTGGTTCTACAATCTAACATTTTGTCTCTTAGGATGTTCAATAATTCATCTTTTCCTGTCCCTAAATGGTGGGAGGAGACATCCAAGATGTCCATAACCCTTTTCTCTTTACTTTATTGATCCCATTCACTACCATGATCATTACCACCTCTATGCAGACAATGTTAAAAATCTATCTTCAGTCTAGATCTCTCTTTTTGAGTTCTGGACCACATATTGTGTATTGGGTACAGACAAAGACAAGAATAGGACTGGATGGTTAGAACACACGCGCGCGCACACACACACATACACACACAAAAACACAATAATCTTGCTTCCTTGATCTTTTCCACTTGGATTTTCTTGTCAACATTTAAACTCAGTATGACCAAACTGAATTCTTCTTTTCTCCAAAACTTGCCCCTCCATCCTCTCTAAGGTCGTGGCACTATCATTACCCAGGTTGTAAACGTCTTAAGTCATCTTTCGTTCTCTCTTAGTGATTCCTAATCAGTTATCAAGACCTAGTGAGTCTACCTCAGCAGAATCTGTTGTAGCTGTCCCCTACTCCACGCTCACATTGCCATCACCCTAGTTTGGGTCGTCTTTACCTCTCAGGGTAATAGCCCTAGTATCCATCAATTAATAGCAACAGCAGCTAGCATGTACTTAGTGTGTACTGTGTGCCAGGCACTCTGTTAAGCACTTCACAAATACTTCCTCATGTGATCCTTACAATGATCTCAGGAACTGAGTGACATTATTACCCACATTTTACAGATGAGGAAACTGAGGCAAAAAAGTTAATGTGACTTGCCCAGCTAGCAAGTGTCTGAAGGCAGATTTCAATTCAGGCTCAGCCTTCTATCTAATGTACCACCTCTTGATGTTAAAATAACTTTTTAAATATACAACTGGGATCATTTCCCTCTTCTGAACAAAAATATTCAAGAATTTCACATTGCCTAGAGGATAAAAAAACAAATCTTTTAGTGTGGGTATTTAAATATCTGACTCCAAACCACTTCTCCAACTGTCTTGGACAGTATTCCCTTTCATGAAGTGTATGTTCTAAAACAGGTAACTAATTACACCTAGATTTGCCCTTCCTGGCTGCTTCCATTTGAACAGACTGATTATGCCTAGAATATTCCCATGTTACCTCTCCTCCCAATGAATTCCTTTTCTTCCTTCAACATAGAGTAAAAAAGTTAAAAGATAAAGAATATTTAGTAATTAAAAACATATAAAGCAGTGTCTAATGAACGTGCATATTTCATTATGTATATGTTGTATTATGTGATTGAGAAAATGTCTATGTAGAATAAATTTAAT